GAGCCATGCGTCGTGTAGTCTAGGCTTCTTCTTCAAGTCGATCTAGATTCGTTTGCGTGTCAGCCGGCTCAAACGCGCAAGAGAAACACACACACCCTGACCCTGCCAGCCGGGGGCAACAGCGTTCCATTCGCGATCGCCTCATCAACAAAGCGCTGGTGCCGCCTGCGCAGAACCAATGAGCGCGCGACGATAGCGGCCGAGACGGCGAGCAGGAGGATCAGTGTGGCGAGAAAGGTGTAGACTAGAAGTGACGCGTATGAGCGCGTACAATGAGGATTGCGCATGTGTTGAGAAGGTACGCACGATAGAGCTTGGCGGAGACCTGAATCCCACTGCCCCCGTTACTAGGACTGCCATCCCCGGGACCCCCGCTCACACCGGGTCCAAACGCGGATGAGGTAGGAGAGCTGAATGGATTAGAGACGATGCTGGGAGCCGTCGCGGATGGGGCACTGAACGTGCTAGAGAACAGGCTCGATGCGCCCGAGGTGACACCGGAGAGTGTAGCCGTCTGGAATGAAGATGATGCAGACATCGGGCGAGCTGCCAAGACCTAGTCGGCAGAGCTTTATTGAGCGTTTCCGGAGCAGAGGGCAAGGTGTCGTCAGGTGTTGTGAGGACGCTGGAAGCCAGCAAGATGGGAGTCGGCGTAGGCGGGAAAAAGCAAGCGCGAATGGGTCACGTTGGTTACGCGTGTGAGTAAGCAGTGATCGCGTCATCGAGGTGATGGTGTTATCATCGCGCATAGATGGGCCGGCAACAGCGTGAGAGTGCCAATTTCGAGCAATTACCGTTCCAATCACTTCGGGAGATACGTCGAAATGTGGCGGCAGTCAGCTGGGATGTACCTCAGGTACCCGCAAAAGTAGTGCCTGTGTTCATGGCAACAAAACCAGACAATCTTTGCGGTCATTGGCGTTTGTGAGAGAACTGAACACGCGTTGGACGAGCCAGGATCTCATTTCACGGAAATTCTCAAGGTATTTGCCACCATCTAGTCCTATGACAGCCGAAAGATAATACTGTGTGTCAGCTCTCTTTCATCCTACTGCAACTGAATTGTTTACAATTGTTGATTTAGATTAGCTACTTTCGGGATTCGGCAGGCATAGATCGACTTTCCGTCGCAGATTTACAATGCTCGCATATGGCACCCGAGGTGACCGATCATGATTGCACTACACTTGCATCCTCGTCAACCGCGCCTGATCCCAAATCGTTGCCTCGAGGCATACTTTCCCCACCTTTGGATATCCTCCCTCTCGAGTAAAAGCGGAATCGTATAGAGATGCCGTGCGAGGTCTTCATTTTTCGCCGTGCGATGTACTACATTATGACACGGCCTATGTCGGTAAATTATGTAGAGTTCGAATCAGATCAAAATTCCCACTAAGACGCACCGACACAACCACGCAACGGAATTGAGCATCGCCTCAGGATGCCAACCCTTCTTGCGCACCTTGTCGTGCGTCGAGCGCGGTATCAGGTGATGATACGTCAGCGGGACCTCGCGTTCGCAAATCTCGCACTCCGTGCATCGCGTGCTTCCCCATACAGGTGGGGGCGCGGAGGCGTCTTCGATAAAGTCCGTGAGGACCTTACGCACGAAGGTGGGTGTCTCGTCGGGGGCACAGATCGCGTAGGCGTGCAGGGTATCAGTCACACTAGTGGGAAGTGCATCAATTGAGGCCGATTCCGGGTCTTCGGAACTGAGAGAGGCCCGAGTTTCGGCGGATAGCGTCTGGAGGTAGGCAGGCAGCACAGGCCATGTCTCTTGCGCGAGATACAATACGAAGTCATCAAGGTCTGAGTCGGGAGAGTCGGAGCCAAGGTCACAGAGCGATGGACGGGATAGAATTCTCCGAGCAAACGCGTCTTTGAGAATCGAAAATTGCGGAGAGTCGAAGGACATCACAATGGAGAGGAGAGCGAGTAAGTAGGAGCACGTGTCGATCGATCAATCGGTGGCAGTACTACACAGCCACGACCATCATCCTTTCCCTTTCCACCAGTCACCATGGCGTCACTGCTGGGTCCGATCTCAGGTGCCCTAGTGGCCGGCGGGGTGCGTTTCTCGTTCAGCAAACACCTTTGTCAAGACCCGATTGACTTGAGGCGCAGTTCTACTACGGATACTCGAGCTTGATGCACAACCGGTACGTGGCATCATGTGCCTTGCGAGCTGCGCTCTTATAGTTTTGGCAGAACCGAGAGCTTGAAAACCGAGTAAGTTCTCCTCGCTTGACGCTTTCGATCCCCTCTTTGTTGTTCTCATCACCTATGTCTCCGTCCTTACGTAATCAGGCTCCATACGCTCAGTGTTCGACTCGTCGACCACCCGGCCCTTGTCATGGCGCCGCCCTCCGCCGCTGCACGTGTCACGCCGCCTTCTTTTGCGGCTACTCTAAAGGCTCGATGGAATGACGAGGTGGCGGGACTAGCACAGAACCTTCGAGGCCTGGACGGGCAGGTGGGAGCTTGGGGACGGAGAGTTGTGTATGGTGATCAACACACCTCTAAGTAATCAGTGCCACCCTTTCTAAGACGTATTTGGTCTCAATCTCCGTTGCTCTCTCTACGTCGGCGTGATCACATGACTTTAGAGAATCTGCGGGCACCTGGACTTTCACCTGACGAGGTGTGAGAGTCCTTGTGCTAGCTTGCGTTCCTGCGAGGGTTTTTCTTAGCCTGCCAAAATTGAGCATGGGCATATGTATGACCACAGCGTCTCAAAATTCCTGGGTCGGGAGGCTGGATGATCCTAATATCACTCAACCAAAGAGACGACCTAACGTGTAAAGAAACGCTTAGAGTCAAGAAGAATATGTGAGACGGTGAGATCGAAGTAATTGGCTGAAGTTTCATGCGAGGCGCATGACGTTTCAGGTGTTGAAGTCACATGATGCTTTCAATTTGCCTGCCAATTTTGGACTACGAATGCAGACGCAGAACCATCTAGTCTGTGCTCCTCGCTAAATCTCTGCATTTTTGCACTTTTCTGAACCCTTGAATATGAATTTCCTTTCAATATTTTCTCACTGAGTTCTATGCGCGCACATGCTCCTCAACAGGGATGTGGAGTGCACGGCATCATTTTCAGATGGACATATTAACAACGCTAATGAAACAGGGAGAAATGCAAACAGGCATCCAGGATGTGGTCATTCAAGTCACATCGAGAAAATGAAACGGCTCGATTTCTCGCAACTAATTTGAGTTTGGCCTATGTTGCTGCGATCCCATCAAACTGTGGTCGACGCCAGAATTCTCATTTAAAGGTCCCTGCACTTGATCTGAGTGCTTGATCTAAACGCTTGGGTGTCCAACCGTGTGGTATACGGTGTAACTGCTCACTGAATAGTCGCATCGGTTACCGTTGTCTGCTGGGTTTTCTTGATAATTTCCTTGAATATTGTAAATCACGGAACACTGTCCTTTTGCGATCTTTGAGCATTCAGTACCGCTCCAGAACACTATCTTTTGAGACATTGGGTAAGATCGGCAACACGTCGTGTTGCCTCATTTCCGTTGATCGAAATGCTTCGCTCCCTGTAGACACTTATTTACCGTGAGCCTGGGTGCTAATACATGGACCCTAAAAATGCCCTAGACGAGTGTAAAGCCGTGTAGCATAAAAGAAACTGAGAGGCACAGGAGTAAAACTGCTCCGGAGAGACTCGAACTCTCGATCTTCTGATGGACTGGAGACTGGACAAACCCAGAGCTAACAGTCAGACGCCTTAACCAGCTGGGCCACGGAGCAATATTCTTCGGTCTCTCAGGTTCTCTCATGATCCCGGGCAAAATCGAAAATCGGTATCGAAAAAAATCGATTGATGACCTTCCCTTTTGTCTTGACAATTGGTAAGAAATGAGCTCAAGTCCGACTGAGATTATCATCGATAAAAATCGAAAGTCCGATCGGAACAGTTTGAGATAGCTTGGATTATCCTGTGTAGATTGCATCAATAATGGGATCTCGGGACAGATAATTCCTCGCTTAGGCGAAGAGGGCAGTTCGGCCCTAGCGACGCACGATAAGTGGTCGGCTAAATTCAAGCGAAATCGACCGTGGTCAGAGAGACAATGCTTGTAGTTGCGTTGTCGCCGGTGTGACCGAAGCCGTCTGTATGATGAGTATGGGGCGCGATGATGTTGACCAGGAAGGGGTTTGCGGTGGGATCGCCTTCGTTCGCGGTGACAGCGGCGATGACCCTAAGGCTCGGACCAGCTGTAGGGGCGCCGTTCGCGACCGAAGTTGGAGTAAAAGAATGGGGGCAGAATTATTGCAAACAAATCAGAGTCAGGGAAACAGTCAAAGTGGCTGATCCCACCGCGAGCAGTGGGGGCTAGCAAGGCAGCGGCGAAGGAAAGACAGAGGGCGAAGGAAGGATTATTCGATGAGAAACGGGACGAGAGGCCCGTCAAAGGCCTTCATTTATCACCGATAGAGCTGCAACCGATGACCGTTTCCCGTGCGGACAAAGCAGCCGTTTTTGGCTCCTAGTACCCCGAGCGTTTGGCTAGAATTGTACATGGGAAATATGCCTGAGTTGGATCTGTTGGATCTCTGTAAACCTGGAAACAAATGCTTAGGGATTGATTCTCATGCGGACAATGAAAGGCAGTTTGATACGGGTCCCGTAAATGAACTATGGCAGACGCGTTGATTCATGGATCACGGTGGACAATCTTCGGGGCTTGGATGACTCGAAAAGAAGTAATCCAGCATCGAGCGTCCAGGACAAAAGCGGTCCTGAGACTAGCCGATTTGCGCGTCTCGTTTCTCGATCCTCCCATGAGACAAGATTCAATCGGAGCTAGGAGATCTGCAGTGGGCAATATTGCTTGCAAAAGACAGATATTCCACTGTCCAGAGGATTTCTATGTGAATCTTATGAAACTTCAAGTAATGAAAGCGTTGAAGGAGAGCAAGAAGGGGGGTGATTGACAGCAAATTGAAGCGCAGCCTCTGGGGGCAGTGTAGCACACAGCCACAAATTCATCCTTGTCCACGATGGCAACGTCAGGCCTTTCCCGCCGCCGAGGGGCGGCCGCCTCATCAACCGACCAAGACGACTTCACATCTTCCCCGCCGTCGTCTGCCCACACACCTGGGAGCACCACGCCCGCCGCAGACACGCACGCACACGCCGGCTCAGCATTTGCATTCGGCGGGTCACGTATCGCTTTCGACCCACGCGACCTGCCGTCCGCCGATACCGAAGTAGAAGGCGGGACTGTCCCCAAGCTGACGCTCATGGAGGAGGTGCTACTACTCGGCATCAAAGACAAGCAGGGATACCTCAGTTTCTGGAATGACAATATCAGCTACGCGCTGCGCGGATGTATACTCATCGAGCTCGCTCTGAGAAGGAGGATCGCGATTGTTCAGGATCCGTCGCGGGTGCGTTGTTTCCCTCCGTGTGCCTGACTCGCTATCACCCCAGTCGCCTACACTCTCTCGCTCCATCGTCACAGCTACGCGCTCCGGTGTACGTACTGACGTTCTCCCGCATAGAAACGCAGTCCACTGCCCGACCGCCACATCACAGTTCTCTCCACCCGTCAGACCGGGGAGACACTACTCGACGAAACGCTGCGGCTCATGAAGCAAACAGAGGATGGAGGAGAACGCATGGGCGCAGGAACATGGGTCGATCTGCTCAGTGGTGCGTGTTTCTCTCTATCGCCTTTCCCCCCGCATCCTCGTCTTCTCTCTCTGGGTGGCTCAGGCTGTGCAACGCTCGTTCTGCGGAGCGTCGTGCATTCAGGACTCTCGAGAGTATGCCGTATCGCATCGCTGTTGTCTAAGCACACGCTCATCTCCCTTGTCCGGAATATCTTGCATATTGCGTCATAGGCTCACTCTCACCCCTTCAGGCGAGACGTGGAATCCTCTGCGCATCCCTTTCCAGCTAAAACAAGTTCGTGAGCGGCTAGCGAAGGGACTAGTCGACAAGGGTGTCCTCCGAACCGAAAAACGCAATCTCTTGCTCTTTGACATGGCCACGCATCCAGTCGCTGACGCTAATATCAAAGCCAGTGTCGTCAATCGCACAGTTGCTCTGTTGACCAGTGGCACGAGTGCGGTGTGTGTTTCTGCCATGGATATCAGGGAAAGGATCTGACCGAGAACCCACTGACAGATCCCACCAAACGCTTTGCTTCCTGCTGGGACACAGGCCCGGACGCTCCGGGCAGTATGTCTCGTCGTCTCTGCGTACACTGCAAGCGTGCTTGACAACGCGTTCGGGCGACTGGGATATGAAGAACGGGAGGGTGCCTTTGCTAGGTGAGAAGAGTTGTGTCGTGTTGACAGACGAAGTGCACTGACTATCATTCTCCAGATGCGACGAGATCCTCGCAGAATTCACAATGTGGCCGCTTGGCGGTGGTGGAGGTAAGCGAATTGTGCTTTCGCTAGGTTTCTGAATACTCATACACGCGCAGAACCGAAACGGACGAAACCACGTGTGGCGGGTGGATCCTCTGCTTCCTACATCTCCGGTGCAGAGAGCGTTCGGGGACTGATCGCCGCTGTGAAAGCGGAAGCAGCAGAGGCATCAGCTGGCACAGCAGTGGAAGATAACACGGGCATGGAGCTGATCGCCGCCGTCTTCGAGGTCCTGGGTAAACTAGACTCGTTGCTGTAGTTGCAAGGGACATGCACTGTCGATATGCGTAACGCTAGTGTACTCCATCTTCCGTACTGCTCTACTCGTTCCTCTTGAGATGCATGTTGTAACTCAAACTGCCAGGGCAGAGTAGAGAATCATCGCAGAGCCGCACTCTTCCACCACAGGCCCCCATCCCCTACTAAAGCCCGGCGACCCTGTGTAACTAGACTAAAGAGCCCGCCTTTTCACCTAGAATCCGCACAAATCTCTAGATCTCTTCCCTAGGGTTCTATTTTGGCTTGAGCCTTATCCAGGAAAATTATATCAAATCACGCAGATGATTTGAGTGCAGAGCGAGTCTGTAATCGGACGTCAATAGACAAAAACGCGGCATGTCGTGTGAAAGGAGACTATCCTTTCCAACAGCGGACAATCTGTTTCTTACTGAGGAGCTTGGGATGTGATGTATCGCTGCGATTGGATCATGACCAGACATGCCCTCCGAGCAAAAGGAGCCCAGAGTGGCAGTGACGAGGTGATGACATTCTGCAGTATTGATAGAATAACAGTGTTGGAAACCGATTTTACGGAGGCACGCGAAGGAAGAGCACTCGCCCACAATCTTTTTGAATCTCCCGGCACCCCGATCCGCGCAGGTCTAAAATTGACTCTCGCCGATACCAAGCTCCTGATTAGTCCACTGTTTACCGGCCCCAGCCTGCCCCCCAGATAGCCTCTCACGAGGATCTTCGAGAACACGACCCTGTGTTCCTCAGTTAATCGATCTCGTCGGCCTGTTGCGATGATTCCGATCCCCTAGAGAAACTTGTGGTCGTCACCCCTAGGTGTGAAGTGTGACCAGTCCGGTCAGCAATTGACCGGTACTTACGGGAAAGGGTGTTACCGAACTGGTCCGGCCCGGAAGGCCTGATGATTCTGTGGCTGCGCCGGCTGATCGGTTGCTATGACCCGAAGCCGCCCAGCATTTTTTTCCACCCACCTGCTCATGTTTTCTCTGATGCCGTTCTTCGCTTCTGCACAAGGCCAGGCAAGTCTACACGCTTCCGACGAAAAGGATCACGGATACTTATCGCTATGGTCCTTACAGATACTGGTGCGGGCCTACTTTTCTGCGCTCCACTCGCATATACAATGCGTTATGCGTTGCCGCAATCGAGGTACCAACAACGAAACGCTGACGCAATCGAATATAAAAGTTTGGGCGCTTATGTAGCTGCCCCACGCGTTTGCCGGGTAAACGAGTTTTTCTGGGGCCCCGACCTACCGCGGGGTATCAGATCTTGATGGGTGCGTCGTGACTCGCGAGAGTAGCGAAAAGCTGCGTGACAGTTGAGCAGGTCTTCGATTGACACAGAGCACTGCGTTGGCCCTTCTGTGAATTCATGACTGTGGATCGAAGCAGAATCTTGGGACTGGGACAACGCCGCACATCTTCCGTGGGGGACAGATTGTGCGACCCAGTTCACACATCCATCCATGACACGCTGAATCCAGCTGATGATGCGACGACATGTGTTCGTATGGAATGCGGAGAACGGCTTCTTTTTGTGATAGATGGAGATCCACTTGACCGCCAGAACCCCATTCTGCCCACGTCCGAACGACACATGACCATCGGCCCGGGAGCATCAGAGTGGTTAAAAGCCACGAGTGTGGAGAAAGATTCGACTGTGTTGCAACCCCGTTCCCACCATGAGCAAGAGTGTGAGCGATCTTTCTTTTAGAATGGAGCGCACATCACTAACGACTTCGACAGTACAGTCCCCGCATTGCATCCAATCCCGTGCGAAGACCCACCTTCTTCTCCGCTCTGACTTCCTTCTGACTTCAGCCCAGTACATCGTTGGATCATTCGCATGTATCGGCGGAGGCCTGTTCGGGCTGGACATCTCGTCCATGTCTGGTGTGCTCTCGAATCCGGCATACCTGAAGACGTTCCACAATCCGACTTCTAACCCTCAGGGAGCCATCGTGGCGGCCATGCCTGCAGGATCTTTCGTTGGGTCTCTGCTCGTTACGTCCCTTGGTGACAAGATCGGCCGTAAGCGGACGGTGCAGCTCGCCGGTCTCATTTGGGTCATCGGGTCTATTTTGCAATGTGCTTCCATTGTGCGTGCATCCACGCTCCTGCGCACGCCCTCCTCCTGACCGTACTCTTCTAGGACCGTGGGATGCTCGTGGTCGGCCGTATCATCTCTGGTATCTCTGTCGGTCTCGCCTCTTCCGTCGTGCCGATCTATCAAGCTGAAGTCACTGCACCTCATCTCCGAGGACGGCTGATTTCGCTCCAGCAGTGGTCTATCACATGGGGGATCCTGATCCAATACTTCATCCAGTTTGGCTGCTCCTACATCAACGGCACCGCATCCTTCCGCATTCCCTGGGGTCTGCAAATGATTCCCGCTATCATCCTCGCAATCGGCATGCAGTTCTTCCCCGAGTCTCCGCGTTGGTTGGTCGACAACGGTCACGAGCAGGAAGCCTTGATCGTTCTAGCCGATCTGCACGGTGGAGGTGACGTCAACGACGAGCTGGTCCTGCTTGAGTACGAGGAGATCCGGCAGCAGGTTGCGTTCGAGCGGGATGAGGGGGCAAAGAGCTACATGGATCTCGTCAAGCCCGGCATTTTCCGCCGTGTTTTCCTCGGTTCGTCGTTGCAGATGTGGTCTCAGCTGTCGGGTATGAACGTGATGATGTGGGTCGTTGTCCTGTGTACATCCTCTCTTCTAACGCGGCGTAGGTACTACATCATCTACGTGTTCCAAGGCGCTGGTCTCTCCGGTCGTCGAGGCAATCTCATTGCCGATGCGGTCCAATACGTGCTCAACGTTGTTGCCACCGTCCCGGCCATCATCTACATCGACAAATGGGGCCGTCGGCCGATGCTGCTTGCGGGCACTCTCGCTATGGGATTCTGGCTGTTCCTCGTCGGCGGCCTGCAGTCCAAATTCGGGCACTGGGACACGAGCTCGCCGCCCGTCTGGGTTATCGAGGGCCACGACGCCGCAACCAAGGCCATCATCGTCTGCTCGTACTTGTTCGTCTGCTCGTTCGCCGTGACTATGGGCCCGGTTTCTTGGACTTACCCGGCCGAGCTCTTCCCGACCAAGGTGCGCGCCAAGGCCGTCTCTGTAGCCACCTCGGCCAACTGGGCTTTGTGAGTGATATCGTTCGCTATCCTGTCCTCATCTCATCTGTCCACAGCAACTTTGCCCTCGCGTGGGCGGTCCCACCTGCGCTGTCCCATATCGCGTACAAGACGTATTATATCTTCGGGACCTTCAATTTCGCCGCCTTTGTGCACATCTTCTTCATGTTCCGTACGTCGATGTCTGCCATTCTCGGCTGTCCCCACTCACATCCCGCAGCCGAAACCGTTGGCCGCTCGCTCGAAGAAGTCGAAGCCATCTTTGCGGAGGGACACGTCTTCTCGCCGTGGCGGATTGGTCGCGATGTTGGGGTCAAAACCCTGGCCGAGGTGTCTGCGGCGAGGAAGACGGGTGCCAACGAGGAAAAAGCTAGCGTCGAGAAGCTCGAGGCTTGAGCACATCTTGTTACCTGTAGTTTACGTTTCTTTCACGATGGTCGCATGTCTGCTTTACGATTTGTTGTACGATAACTGCACGTAGTTTGAATGATATCGACGCACTTGAATCTCATGTCGTATGGCGCACTATGATGGAACGGAACATACTTGGAAAGATGAACATTTTCAAGTGCTCGCGACTGGTCGACTAGACACATCTGCACTGCCCTAGAAGCAGAGACAGTCCGCACTTCTTTCAAACCAGCTGTGCGAAGCCCCAGTTCAAGCGGGGCTGGTCCTGAGTGCATCGGAGTGGAGCTGAACGCGGGACTGACGTGTCAGCGCTGTGAGAAGTGTCAAGTCCCTGCTCTCAAGTATATAACTGCATCATGTCAACGAGGAAACATGCCGAGACAAAAAGTTAGTGACGTCTGAAGATGCTGCGATCAGAATTCATCCAGAGCCCCATGGCAACTCTGGCTGAGACACGAAGATCATCATTGAAGACAATCACCAAGCGGCCTATCTCGCATTCGAGGGTGCAAGCGGTCACTCTTGTTATGCGTCACATCTCCTTTTCTTTCACCGGCTGGTACCAATTGATATAAGTATTCTGCGGGACCTACGATTAGAGGACCGAATCCTTGCATGCGTCCACCTTCGCCTCAATGCCGCGCTGGCTAGCCGGCTCTGCTCATGGCCCTCGCATACCGTACAATAAGTGAAGACTGCCGCCTGATCCCCCCGTCCTCTGCCTGTGAGCGGGATTGCATCGAGGTCGCCGAGAGTGCAGCTGCTCTAAAAGGAAATACGAAAACCTTGAAGGATGGAGCGCCTCGGGTGGCTTAGCTGCAAGGGGTGTTGAGCATGGGTGGACGGTACGGGTCTGTATGCTGACACATTTGGCACTGCTCGTCAGCCTCCAATGAACATCGTTGGGTGAACGCCGGACTGGCGACGAGGGCAGATCCTACGGGCCTCTTGAACTCACTCGCTCAATCAATCAACGACGACAGCCTATGCGCCAGCTCATCAACGTGAATGGTGGCTTCATCTCTAGTTATCTGTTCGTCCGACTCATCTTTGCTCTCTCTCTCTCTCACCCGCTCATACTCACGAGTTCCCGTAAAACGGGGCCTGGACCGAACGGACGCGGAAATGGATGGTCAGTCGAGCATTTCACTTAGACGAGGAAGATGCGAGCGGGAAGCCCCGGCGACCGTGGCCTTCAAGTCACCTTCGCTCCAGGCCACAGGTGCCTAACACCAAACCAGACTCACTATCGGCGGTCCTGTTCAGACGACTCCAGCGGAAAGCGTCGCCTAATGGCATCGAGCAGAAGATTCCGGCCGTCTACCGTTATTCACTCTTCAATCCCATTCTCTTATGAACATGCTTCTACTCTTTACCAATAACCTCCTAGTCCTCTTCTTGTGTAAGGTCTTAGTTACCGGCCCTATACTAGTTTTGGGGTTTACCGGAGCTCGCCGATCTGTCAACGAGACGTTCTTGCTAGAGTGTCATGTAAGTGAAAACCATCTCATTTGAAATCCTCCTCTCACGATCAAAGCAACGAGGTCAGCTGGAGTCATCTTCTGTATGATGAATCACCCAACCAAGTTCGCCACCGGCAAGCGTATCCGTTCATGGGACAATCCCCCCTCTTGCTCCCTTTACGCCAATGAAGACCAACGCAAAATCACACTTTGACCAGCTCCCGGGCGCGCACGCACCCTCGGCCCGCAAGGCGCAATCTCGGTGGGGCATCTTGACTGCCGTAGCAACTGTCGGGCTTCTTCTCCTGTGGTGCAAGCCAAGCAGCCTGCTACTGCCGCCTACGCATCCATCTGCGGCGTTCCCACTCTCCACTCGTCTCGACCAGTGCCCGCAAGCCCAGCCCCTGGTCCCTACAATGCATGTCAATCTGTGGACGACACTCATCGCACTGCATCACACCGACGCGTTCCGACTTCGGGCCGTTCAAGGACTGGGCGCGGCTGTGCGGATTCCGACGGAGACGTTCGACGCGATGGGCCCAGTGGGCGAGGACCCAAGATGGTTGTCTCGCGCGCCTTTCCAGGTCCACCTCGAAACGGCATACCCAAAAACGTGCGTGTCGTCTGAATCTGATCTGCGAAGGTTGGGCTGACGCAGATTTATATGCAGACACGCGGCACTCTCACTCCAGCGAGTGAATACTTATGGATTGGTGTACACCTGGAAGGGTTCGGACCCCAGTTTGAAGCCGTTGCTGCTTATGGGACATTACGGTCCGTGAAAGCAGAGGAAAGTCTTTGATTACTGACCGCGCTCTCTATCATCCAGACGTCGTTCCGGTTGCTCCATTGAGTGTTGATCAATGGACGCACCCAGCGTACTCAGGCTACTTCGACGGTAAATCTGTCTGGGGAAGGGGTAGCTCGGACGATAAGAGCGGCGTCATCGGCATCATGTGAATGCGATCCTTCCATCCAGTCTTCACTGCTGATCTTCGGCAGGACCACCATAGAAACCTTACTCGAGCACGGGTTTGTGCCTAGACGCTCAATCGTACTTTCGTTTGGCTTTGACGAGGAGGGCGGTGGTTTTCATGTAGGCAGCCCGTCGCAGTGGGGCATCGTCGTCTTATACCTCGTCCAGGGCGCAGGGCATCTCGGTCCAGCTCTATTGGAGCTCTACGGCCCGGACTCTTTTGCGATGATCGTCGATGAAGGGTGTACGTATCATTACCAGCCCTTGGGCCCGAACTGAAACAATGCACCAGCCGGCTTCAGCGATCAGTATGGCTCCATATTCGCTGTTCCCGGGGTCGCCGAGAAAGGCTTCGTCACTGTCGAACTGGAAGTCAAAACCCCTGGTGGTCATTCAAGCGTACCACCTGAACACACGAGCATCGGCATCCTCGCTGCGCTCATCGTTGAATTGGAAAGCAATCCACCTGCGGCCAAGTTCGAGACAGACAGCACATTCTTTGACATGACGGTGTGCTATGCTTCCCACGGACCCGACATCGACACCGGCTTGCGAGCGGCAATCCTGGCGTCGCCCCGCAACGAATCTGCCCGTGCAGAAGCGGAACGGATCCTGTCCAAGGACAAGACCTTCCGGTCGCTATTTGGGACAACGCAGGCGGTGGTTATCGTGAATGGAGGTGTGAAGAGCAATGCCCTACCAGAGCAGGCTGCCGTGAGTGGACGATTTTGCTAGGGTTATTAGAGAGTGGTCTAGGGTCGATTCCCTAGGCCAGACCTAACCCCAGGGCTGGGTTACCCTGGGCCAGGGAAGCCCTTTAGGGTTACCCTAGCAGGGGGCACATGACTGGAAAGGTGTGGTGCCGGGTATCTTGGAGGTGACGATGTTATGCGTCGACGCAGCTCCTTCAGCCTGAGAGGGGCTGGGTACACGGTGTATTGGTGGTGACGACGTTCTGTCAGACTGTCTCAAAAATTAGCATTTGCACGAGACAAGTAAACTGAACTTTCCAACTTGTACCAAATGTGGTCCTACACCAAACAACTTTTGCTATGTACAGCCTGTGCACTGGTCCAATGCACCATGCCCATATCTGCAGTCTTGGGCATGACGACGTATTGACTGAAAAGGGTCGAAGACAAGAGTCGACTGAAAAAATGTTTGTTGGTTGCCAGAAAGCAAAACGTCGTGACGTCCAAGACACCGTGTGGCCGGGTGGTGAAGTCCACATGTTTATTGCATCACATGACTGACATGTGACATGATCGAATCACATCATCGTAAGCTCCAAGACACCGGCTATCCAGGCGGTCAGGGTCATGGTCTGACATCGAGGACCATGACATTGACCGCCTGGTTACCCGGTGTCTTGGAGCCAACGATGATTTGAACGGGTCAAGTTGCCAAACGAGTCAGGTAAAGAGAATAACGAAGGCAGACGACCAGCCGGACACACGGTGTCTTGGACGTCACGACGTTTTGCTTTCTGGCAACCAACAAACTTTTTTTTGGAGTGAAATCTTTCGTTCGACCCTTAGTTAATACGTCGTCACGCCCAAGACTGCGGGAACTGGCATGGTACAACTTAGAGATAATGATCATTCGGGGATACAGGACGCGATTTTCGACAACAACAATAACAAAGTAAGGCGGAAAAAGATTAGGTAATGTCTTGGTAAGCAACCTGTTCACGTGCCATGCAGTGACACTTGGAACAGTGATGTGTGATGTGACTTTGCCTCTTGCTCTTGACCACCACCTTCCTAATCCGTAGTTGTACAGCCTCCGTAAGCGAGATCGCACACACGCCGACGATAATCTCAGAATGCCTAAAAAACTGACCGCGGCCGAGAAAGCTCACCGGAAACAAGAGCGAGAAGCGTTAAAAGCTGCTCAGAAAGCGGCCGAGGAAGCGGCGGAGCAAGAAGCCCAGGAAGCGGCTGAGCGAGAAGCCCAGGAAGCGGCGAAGAAAGCAGCCGAGAAAGCGCCCAAGAAAAAGAAGGGAAAAGGGACGCGGCGACCGACGCCCGAGCTCACCGAGGACGAAGAGGTGCAACCTGCGCCGCCGAAGAAGGGGAAAGGGAAGCGGCGACCGACGCCCGAGTTCACCGATGACGAAGAGGAACAACCTATGTATATTTCCCCTCCCAGATGCGATCCCGTTGCAAACGTGGATCCCGAGCTCATTTCGCCACAAAATTTCGCAAAAATTATATCCACATGTAGCTTACGTTCCCCTGGACCCGGGATCCACATGAATCCATGGGTCTCAGGGGGTGGGGCTGCTCAGTAGCCCCGCCATGAAGGCCTCTTTTTTTGCACCCTAAAAAACTGGCCCGATGATCAGAGCATGGATCCCAACCGCAGTTTACTCAACACTCACAATTTTTTTCACGCATTCTTACATGGATATATAGAAGACTCCACATGCCAAAGATCATAATTATTCAACCAGCCGTTGTGGTGCAATATCAACATCTTCCTGCAGCGCAGTCAGAATCATTGATGCTCATTAAACAGTGGATCCCAGTGGCAAACCTCCTCAAATTTATTTGCTCATTTGAGAAAGTATGTACTAGAACACATGTAATATGCATCTGTCCACACGAAACAGCTGTCCCTGCGTTGAGGAGGAATGGGGAGCCAGTGCAAGGCGAGGAGATGAGAAATGATGGGAGCTGTCAATGAAGTCTGGGAGAACATGGCTGGATTCGTGGATCCCAGAGTCAAATCCTGTACAATGGAAAATCCAAGCCACTTAAATTGAAGGTCAGCATGAGAAGAACATTCTTGGCAACTCAAATTTGCCGGAAAGTGTGCCCAGAGGCCAGAATCCATGCACAAGAACAGCCCACAGAGGGTGTGACGCCGTCATCACACCCTTGCACATCCTTGTTTCCTACAATGCACAACACGTCCGCGGCGGGCTCAATGCACATGGAGCGATGATGGAACACGCGCAGAAGATGTTTTCAAATGATCTGGAGTCCTTAGGGGGCAGGAATGGGATGGGAAATGGCACGGGCATGACACCCAACATCAGCACATGTAGGCGGCACCTGTTTTCCACTTTGCTCTGACCATATTCTCTAGTTAGGGTCCTGCGCACTTCCTTTCGACCTCTATGTGCATTCTAGTAACGCGAATCCCTCGCTCAGAGCCACTGCTCCCGCCTCAGCACCACTTCCTTTTCGGGCGTGTGTCTCTCTTTCCTGACACTGTATGCAGGCGTCGTGACAATGTACCACCAGCTGCTTGTCTTCCGACTCTTCCTCGGGTTGCTTGAGGGCGGTGTTACGCTTTACTTGCTGGCCTACTTTACGCTGTTGATCATCCAGTCTCCCAGCTACACCGCTGCGCACGCACAGCTCATGAGCGTGCCGCCGTTCTTGGTCACCTTCATGGTGTCCATGATTGGCGCGTACCTCGGCGACTGCTACCACTGCTGAGGGCTGGTGTCCCTGTTTGGGTCGCTCCTGTGCATCGCCGGATTTGTGGTGTTCCTCACGTCCGGGAACCACCACATCCAGTACGGCTTGCTCTTTCCCTCGATCCCAGGGACCTGCACTGTTGCGCCGACGCTGTCGACGTGAAGCGCAAACATCTCGGCGACCCACGTGCGCCGCGTGGTCGCGATCGGCTTCATCATGACCAACTCGGGGGCCATCTTTGCGACGTGGCTACTCGGCGCGCTCTAGGGTTAGGGTTAGGGTTAGGGTTAGGGTTAGGGTTAGGGTTAGGGTTAGGGTTAGGGTTAGGGTTAGG